AATACCCGTATTGCTATAAATGCCTCTGTACAGGTAGTTGAGCGTTCCTTGCATCTTTTTTAAATCAAAGACGGTTCACCTATTTTTCATACACCGAACAGTGACCACTTCCCATTATAAAATCAGGTACATCACAGATAATCTACAAGTGCATAACACTAATAATCAGAATGTTATTTATAAAGTGCCTTTCATCAAATATCGTAAAGCCTGTGCAAGACACAGCAGACCTCCAGCATGACAATAACTCGCGAATCAAAAAAACTGAGAAATGGTAAAATACCAAAATAAATACCAAAGGCAATGTCCTTCATTGATTAGAGGTTGAAAAGAAGGGTACAGTACTGTATAGGTAATATTTAAGACAAGTATTACAAATTTCAGGAGACTCAACGATCAGATATCTCGTGGATGAGAGAGTTCCATATCCTGCGGGCGCTATGCAAGAAAAAGCTTGGTCATCCATCGACCGAAGAAGCCTCTATGATCTGGGAATTCAGAGAAGATCTGCATCCCTAAACCTTAGAGGCCTTGAGATATTTGTGTTCAGCATGTCTCTGATGTAGGCAGGCAAGGTTATTCTGAGCTTTGTAAGTTAGCAATCGAATTTTCAGTTTCAGTTGATTTATTTTGGTATAGCCCTGTGAGCCATTCGGCTCTTGAATCGGGTGCAACCACAACAAACAAAAAAACACGAACAAGAAAAACATCTTAAAGTGACTATGTGACTGTGCAAAGAGAAAATCCATGAAAAAAATAGCAAAATATTCCTGAAAAAGCACCGTACACCAACGTTGTGTGCAAAAAATCCCAGTGGGATGCAAGTCAAACAACAACATATCCTTGGTTCTTTCGGTAAAGTCACGTAGAAGGGAAACAATAAAATGATATACGTGACTTTACCGAAAGAACCAAGAATATGAAACCCTGCAGTCACGAAAGTTTTAAATCAAAACAACAACAACCACAAGAAAACTTAGATTAAGGCCATCAGTCTAACTACCGTACTACAACAAAACAAATATGTCCAAAACCAAAAAAGTTTTCTAAATCACCAAAAAATAAATCCATAATTGCAACGTAACACTGAATCCTATTCAAAACAAACAAACAAACGTAACGTTATCTGAAGGCATTCTGCTTAATACGATAGCAGCCGTGAAGTCAACCTGATTACTTACACACTATTAAGTGCACAGCGCAGGGCAAACATTATGTAGGGGATTATAAATAAGCAATGCAATCTCCTTTCGATACCATTCATTTCACGGTTATACCATCATGGAGAGCAACAAGATATCATTACATACAACGCACGTGGAAATATTTATTACGGTTAATAAAACAGTATTTAAGAACACGCACGTTCTGTACATCTCGTATCTGTACAGCCCAGGGTATCACTAAATTCGTTACTAGCACATTGCAATATTTTATGACTGGACTAAACATTTTATTCTTCTAACTACATATTAACGCAGCGGCCTTTATAAATAACGTATTTTGATACATGACCTACGCAACACGACCTGTGTTGACTTTGTTCTATTTGTGCAATGTGTTACCTTTTTTAACAACATGGCAAGCGCTGTATTAAAGTAAAAAAAACTGAACAGATGGTGGCTCTTCGCTCCGTGTAAGCCTACCTAAAATGAATTATCCGCGCATACAAACCCATATAAAATCCAACACTGAAAGCACCTACCGGTCATGCATTGAGTGTAATGCATCTGAACCGTCCATCCCGCGTACCGTTCAAACAAATCCACCACAACCCGTGCGAGTACTCACTGCAGATGGCTGCAAAGTTCTGCCGTACAATCCATTCGTGAGCTCCGCGATTTATCCCAACTGCATCGGCAACATCCACCTTACAACAGTCGGTTAGGCGTGTAACAACTACTACGTTCATGGACTTGTTCACGGCCTTGTTCATGTAACTAAAAAAGGGGTCCACCCCCCTACCCCGAATGTGATTCACTTAATACCGCATCGCGTGACATTATAAATGCCCAATTATTATACATTAACTCGCTTCAAAAGTTCTTCTTGTAAAACTTATCGTACAAAAAGTTGAAAATAAATTAGACCGGGGGGGGGAGGGGAGGGGGGGTAGCTGTGAGAAATGCACGTTAGTCAAAAGAAGCAACTGGGAAAAAGAAGAAGCGAATTTGCTGCTCGAGTTTGAGAATGTTTGCTGAAGCAGAGTGGCGAAAGCTGCCGAAGAACGCCGCGGAGCGAGGCCGCTCCCTTTGGCCGTCGCTTCCGCCACGTGGGCCGCGTGGGGATCGCGGGCGCGCGCCCCTCCGATGTTTACGCGTTGCCTAGGGCGACCGCGCCCCAAAACACGCGTCAACAGTGGCGTCCCTTAGCAACGCCGCGCACGTGACCGTCGCGTCACGCGGCCGAGGCTGGCGGAAGTAAACAGGGGGAGGGCGGGGGAGGGGGGCCCCCCCCCCCGTCGCCTGGCGATCGCGCCCCACGTGACCGAGCGGGTTGCGGGGTGCTCCTCCCACCGCCCACCCCGCTACCCCACACGCGCCCCCTCCCCCCTCACTCACCCCCGCCCCGCGCGTGACGTCGCGGTGGTCGCCGCGGCAACCGCGGGGGACAACAACAACAACAGTGGCGGCGGCAGCAGCAGCAGCAGGCGGATCTCGGCGGCGCTTCGAGAAGTTATTTGTTTAACTTTGGTTTAAATAAAAAAAGACGCGGCTCGACAAAAAACACACACACACAGGACGCCGTGTGTGTTATTTCTTTTTTAGAAGCCCGTCGCTATGGCGAGGCAGCCCGGATTGGTTTGGCCACGGGGGCGCTGAGCTTTCTTTAGTTACACAAGCGAAAGGATTTCCCAGCGCCGGCTATTTTGTTGGGGGCGGTAGTCATGGCGAGAGGCTTTGTGTGGTGGGTGGGTGGGTGGCAGGGATACCCCCTGTACGGCTCCCACGATTCCCCTGCGTGATGTAACACGCCACTCAGGCCGGCTCTTTACCTTGGTTTGTTGCTCGCTCGGAGTGTACCGCCGACTGCACCGTGGCAGTGTTTGGCGTGCGGGGTCCACCCTCATGGATTCCGGTTGCAGTTTGCCACGCCGCGCTTTATTTTTTTTGTTCCCTGGCGAAAGTCTACGTGTGTGGGAATGCCAGCGAACGTTTGTCGAAGTCTCTCGCCATTGGTAAAAACAAAAAAAATTAGTCTTGTGTTTGCCTATCATTATTACACGCGATTTTGTTGTTTAATTATAGTTTACATTGGTAAATCGCATTTCATCCGTAGAGCGCATTATTCACCCCGTAGGTTAACTCGGTGTACAATGAGTTAAACGTTGCTCTTTCAGAGAACTTACACATTCGTTAAAACGACTCGGTAGCAAGTGAGACGAGGATTATGACGTGCACTGGTCACTGACCCCATTACTCCCATCGTGTTCCAGTCTAGTTGCATAATCTATGTTCATTCACTTGTCAGTGTTTTGGGATGTGGCTGCCGCGGTTTGAGGGTGAGGAGGCATGCTGCAATTAATTCTCAAATGCATGCTATGCTGTTAGCTCATACGGGAAGGGCTTAGAAAGTTCGATCTGCATTAGTCATACGGATTAAGGAGGAATGCAGTTCTCATCGCTTTCAAAGCCTTCCAGATGCCTTTTTTTCCTTCTCTTGCATGTAACCTGGAAATGCCCGAAAGCATAACTATTACAGTATACCCTAATGGGATGAATGTACATTAAGGGAATATACATTAACATAAGTATCATCCTGGTTACATTGAATATTATAATTAACAGATGCAATAAATCATGGTGATATGTTTCTTGAAGACGAGGGTAATACAATCCAAATCAAATCTTTGAACTAATTGGGCGGAAACAAGCTGACACGTCCCTACAATCCTTCAAGCCTCTCTTGCAACTTTTATCTGTCCTATACAGTAGTTGAAAAAATATTTAAAACTGTTCGTAGGTTATTGCGAGTATATATTTTCTTTGCAGGAAAGAACCACGTGCCAATGGATCGTTAACGTCCTTGAATACATCCAGTTAATGTATTTCATATATAGGGTATGACTTATGTCCTAGGGGACTGCTTTAGCAGCTGCGCATCGGCTGAAAATAACACACTCGCCATTGACAATGCCTAATAACTAAAAATACAAATACAGTACCAGTTTAACATTTCTGGCAATGGACATTCTTCAGAACAGAAATAGTGGGCGTTGGGTTCCCAATACCTGGTTGAAAACATTTTCAAAACTGCTGCCTTTAAAGACCCGGCGACGATTGGTGTTAACAACCTGTAAACTTATATTTTCTAAAATGGATTGTGTTGGCAGTGGTACACGACCACAAGATTAAAAAAGTCACGTTTACCATTAACATAAATATATACAGGCGAACAAAACGTCTGTACTGGCATGAGGACATATAAAAGCAACGATGTATTGGCATACCAGCCTTTACAAATCCATATATTAAAAGTGAAACACCCCAACCGATGCATCTTTACATGCTGCATAAAACCTACAATAAATACAACGTTGCACACACATGCATTGCACTGCCTTTTATTGCTTGGTGACGGACATATTTGTTACTTCCTGCCATAAACATATATTTATAGTCACCACCACCACCACAACCACCACTGCTTTAAGAGACAGCAAACCAAAAAAAAAACCTCCAATAAAAAATCGCTAGTCAGGTCGAAGCTTGCGCGCGTGTTTGGTATGGTGGGGGGGGGGGTGCCGGTGGGGGGGTGTCGGTGAGGTGGGGGGGTGGCAGGAGAACACCTGCCCCGAGGCGGGCGCGGTCGAGGGGGGTTGCCGTGGTTGCCGGGGGACCCCGCGCGCTCGCGCGCCACGCGGCGGACGCGTGGTGACGTATCGTTGGTGTAGCGAGGGTTTCCCTGGGCGCGCGGGGTAAACACGCGTGACGCGCGCGAGCGGGGGGGGGGGGCGCGCGGGTAGGGGGAGTCACGCGCCGCGTATATAAAAGGGTGACGCAAGGAGCGCGCGCTCCACATCCGAAAGCCGGCAGCACTTTGCGTTGCGCTGCCGCCGCCGCCGCCGCCGCTGATGAACCACAGCCGCGGCTCGCCTCTTTCGCTCTGAGCCTCCCGTTTGCTATCGCCGGCTGATTCTGATCGATTTACCGAGTCGAGTTTCTAGAGTTTTATTATACGTCGCTCGATTTACTCGTCGTCGTCCCCCTCTCTCGTCGGCGGCCGCAGACAACCGGAGGCTTTCTTCGCTCCACCGAGAAGTTTTACGGGGATTGTTACATCGGCCGAAGCAGGTGTGTATTTCGTTGCGTTCGCTTGTGTTCTTGTACGGTGTGTGTGTGTGTTCGTATCTTGTGTAAGGACCGTATGGGAATGCCATTGATTTGAAACGGGTTTGCGCTGTATGCCAGCGCTGTCGATTGAGCTGAATAGAATGCTATAAGCCTCAACCCCTACGTTAGTCGTCGGGGTTTGTACGCTTTCATAAACTCTGGTGGCTCCACGTACGTAAACAACACCCACAGGCCTCAGACGGGCTTCGGTTGTTATCGACACCTACAATGCAGGCATTGTAAGGCGTCCGATGTGCTGCTGATGCTGCTATCTCGTAGTGGCATTGAGTGTGTACGTGGATGTAACTCCGCAGGCAGGCGAATGCGCCGTCGTACGTACTCTTGGCCGGCAGTGCTCCAGCCTGACATGAGTTACAACAGCAGCGTTGCGCTCTCTCATGCTACGGCGTTTCCCAATCGCACGTTAATGATTTTATATTGCACAGGCAGTGCTTCTCGCCTTGTGTGTGCGTGTCTTCTTTGTTTTGTGCGTCCGCCTATGCGCGCTGTAGTAAGAGTCATCGGTGTACGATGTTATGTAGTTTGCATTGCCTGTATGACGACGATGATGAATTCGGTCGCTATAAGTGTTTGTGTGTGTGCCCTATGTATGTTATGGCTAGCTGGTGCTGTGTTTGTGTACGTCTTGTATATAGCATGTGCTATGAGCGTAGCGTGTGTCCTATATCGTGTGTCCTATATCGTGTGCTGCGCTGTATGGGTTGTAGCTTATACTCTGTGCACGTTTACAGCTTGCGAGTGTTACCAGCTTACGTTCAATGTACGCGTTCGAGTGTGTGTTTTACACACGTTTTACACACGTGTTAACACTGATGTCCCATGCGTGTGCGCTTTATGCGCGTTGTGGACTTGTGCGGCGTGTACGGTACGTGCAGTAGCCCGGCAAAGGCTTAGGCTGTAACACAAGCCGGCAGCGTAACCGCACTCATGCGCGCTTGATTCATTCGTACAAACGACAGCGCCCGAGTCGGCAGGAGCAGGAGCCGCAAGCCAGGCAAGCAGCCCTTGACAACCGCAGTGCTGTACAAGGCTATTACTAACGTGTAGCGGTGGATTGACAAAGGGCTGAGAAAATAGAGGAATAAATAGATACTGCGCTACAGCGACGGGAATGCGTGGAAGAGAGGGGCCTTCGGGCTCGCAGCTGCGGTCGGAGTGTTCATTACACTGGTGGGGTGGGCTTGGCCCACGTGTCGGTGTCGGCTACTGATAATAATGAGAGCTCTTAGTTGAGAGCGTGAGTGATGCATGTCGTGTCATTGCATCATCATCAGTATTATTAGTGCACATTCATCACAATGAGCACGTGATGAGGCAATGCTTCTGATTTAGCGCTCTACTCTCAACACATTAAAATACCTTTGGAGTTTGAGACACACTCCCACTGTTTTAACTTTTAGGCTGCTGTTTCCAAGACGAAGTGTGCAATACGTTTATAAAGCGTGTCACAGGGTTACATTTAGGGTGTTCCATTGCACCCTTTTTTGCCAATCGTGTGCAATGTGCGTTCGAAAAACTACTTTTTAACGCCAACCTTAATTCCAACACTAATTGCAATACAGTTGCCCACACAGCAATGAATGATTCTCAATGCTAAATGTATTCCGCATCATCTCTCCAGCTGCGAAAGAGATGCACGTGTTTGTCTGTGCGGGCTCTCGCCTGCTGCACAGAGCAGTAATTGACCGAGTGACCCCATTGACTCGCCAGACAGGGAGGCTGCTGCCGTGCGTCCTGCTCTGCCTGACCATGCTGATGATGCTGCAGCCGTTCGGTTTGCACGTGCCCGTGTGCGGGGACGGCGCGCTGGCCAGCCGGTCCTGCACCTCGCCTGATGCTGCCTTCGGCGTGGACGACATCGCCGGACTATTCACGGGACCAGTGCTTCATTTCTCCACGAGTGGCGAGTCCGCGCTATCCCATCTTCCTCATTCTCATCACCAGCAGCACCACCAGCAACAGCACAATCAGCAGTTCAACGGCAGCTACAGCACGAACAGCGGCACCACAGGTGCAGCAGCATCAGACTCCGTGCCGTATACCTCCACCTACGGACAGCTGAGTCCAGTTGGGAGCCTTTCGTATTACGGGCAACTGTCTGTCGGAGATGTACGGGACGTGGAGCCGATGTCCCCACAGAGCCCCGTCGACTCCAAGAAGCCTAGCAAAAGCAAGGTGCGTGACACGCCGGGGATGCGATTTCCCAGCCTAGTTTTACAATGTCGCCTTTTGCCCTCTTTGCTTGTGTGCTTGCCTCCTTGCCTGCGTGCCTGCACACCCTATAAATGTATGCTTTATTTAGCTCGCACGTAACTGTGCAATGGAGTGTTTGCACGCATCACAAGAGCTGTGGGAATAATGCTACACGCCGGCAATAGCTAACGTGACATTACTACGAGCCAGCCGATAACTTGCAGTGTGTAATGAGTATGAGAGAGTACTGCAAGACAATGCGTGCTTTGGGGCTGCTAAGGTTGAATGCCAAGTGCTATACAGGAGGGCACACATAAGGTAGGCTTTTAATGTGCAATACTAGTAAGGACACATCTTTTCTCCAGAGTGTGCTGGTGAAATCCCCAGTGACAGGCAGCTGTGGTGACAAAGACATTTTCCAGGGTGGGCAGTTCCCTTGTCAGGAGGTGCAAGGCATAATATTTATTTGCGTTCAAAATAGCTTTAATTTGCTTTTAAAGATCGTCCCATGTTTCCTCATATAGCATAGAAAATCCCTCCAGTGATGGTTTATATTGCAACAGATCGAGCAATGACCGCCACCTTCTCTCGTGGGGTTTCTTCAGGGGCTCGCGAATGAGGACGACCGGAAGAAGCGGCGGCGGGAGAGGAACAAAATCGCGGCTGCGAAGTGCCGCAGTAAAAAGAAGGAAAAGACGGAGACATTGGCTCAGGTCGGCAGAAGGCCATGAAGACCTCATACATTTACACCAAACCTGGGATTAACTATCATTATACCTAAAACAGTATTGGTAGTTGAAATTACATTTACGCTGTATTACTGAAATGAATTCCGAATGACACAATTTCAACTGTAATCGACCCTAAGCCTGACACACAGGCACAAACTTGTCTTACATTCATTTGAGAGATAATTGAGACAATAACATTTTTCAAGGTGAGATCCGCGGTAATACATTATAATTAATGGAGTAAGTGTAGGAAGCAGATTTTTGTTGTGTGCCAGTACAGGGACTTCACTAGAGGGAGCTCTAGAGAGCCCCTCTAGAAGGTACTTACTTCTCTTTTCCAATTTGCCCAGACATCTTGGAAGAGATGAGAGTACCCAAACTTTACCCTGCCACACACAAACTGCCAATCGACTAACTGTGGTGTACATTTTTATACCGCCGAGTGGCCAGAAGTGTGTCAGGAATTGAACAAACTTGTCCATTGTTACTTATAAATTTAATGGTGTTGTAATTCATGGTCTCCATACTTGCAGGAGTCGCAGCGATTGGAAGGCCACAACTCGAACCTGCGGTCACAGCTCGAAGCGATGCTCGGGGAGAAGCAGCGCCTGGTACAGCTCATCAACATGCACCGGCCATCATGCATTGTGCATGCAAGCAGCACGTCCCCTGGCGTTGAGCCAACGCACCACAGCAATGCTCCGTGACAACGCCACGCCATGCGGCCACGAGAAGATGCCGTTGGACAAAACAGAGACTCGAGACAATAATGGATAAATTGCAAATTTGAAATTAAGGGAAATGGAACGTAAGCCAACAGTTTTGACCAGGAAAAAGAGAAGGGTCCTCTTCCTCTTTGCCTTTGCAAGAATAATTATCAGCACCCACTCTCCATTGTGCCCTGATGCAAAGTGTGGCACTGAAATAGTATTGGGGAGTGTACCGACCCTATTTAATCCCTGCTTTGGACTGTTAAATTGCCTCTTTGGCCAATACCACACCCACTGCTAACCTGGCGTCAACATGTTAATATTTGGCACCACGATTCTGTGAAAAGATGTGTGGTGTTGACCTGTTGCAGAAGTGAAGAAGAAAAAAAGAAGACAACTATGAAATTTAGCTGAAAAGCAAAGTCCAATTTGTCGAAACGTAGAAAGAACTCTGCTTTGTGATGAAGCAATCCAGCCATGAGAATTTGCACTAATTATGATTTCACACAGTTATCGTGCTCCGTCAAGAATGTAGTGCTGCGTGCATACTGTAGCCGTAGGTTGTTTCCTGTTTGTGGTATCTTGTTCATCAAGCTGCCATGTGTGCGGATTTCAAAACGTCACAAGTACCAAGAAGCCCTCTACTTTATCTATCCGTCTTAATAGACTTTGCCCAATTCAACGGGAAAATGCATTTAGAAATCGAGAAACACGCAGCACATCACACACCTGTATTCAGCTAAGAATGTATGCGCTAAAGCCAATCGAAAGGTTTTTATTCTAAACTTTTTTTGAAATACATGACGTTGGCTAATGTTTAAGTATTACATATAGGTGTTTCATAAATTGTGTACAGTATTAAGTCTAGACATTGTCAGATTTGTATAACATGGCATGCATAGCATTCTATTGAAACAAACATAGGATTGTTTATGGCTATACATTTTTTTACCGTTAATTTGTCAATTACATTCACTATTATATTTTGTATCAAAAGAAATAGCATTGTATACGCCAACGAGTCAACGTACTTATTCACATTGTTACACAATAGGTACTGCATTTAATGTATATATAAATACGTCAAAAATATATACTTTTTAAAATATAGCTACGTTTGGTGTTTGTGTCGTTGATTTAAATAGTGGCACTTTTAAAGATGGTGTTTTTTTAAAATAAATATAAAAGACATATACATATATGCGAAATGCTATTAGACATTTCCTGCAGAGAGGAATTGTGTCGGACATTATATACAGCATACCATATTCTTCGGATTATCAGATGCACAATTCCCCCTGTATTTTTTTGAAGCCAAAGTTATTATCTGGAAGGTGGTTGTGTGACCAATTTTGTATGATTATATTGACAATGGGCACAAATGTGGGGTGCATCTTACTTTTCAGAGCATCTAATAATCCGGAGAATACACTAATGCCTTTTATTAATGCATGCGTTCTGATGAAATGAGAGCAGGGAGAGAAAGTGAATGACAGTGACATTGAAAATTAGAAGTCGTTATTACCTCTCTGTTCAGTTTGTCATAAAATCTCATCATATTTGGTGATAGTTATTGCAGTGGCTACAGTATTGGCAGCACATGATCAGAACAATGGATAAAATAAAACCAACACAGCACGTTATATTTTTCAATGGGAACGTCATGCATAATATGGGCAGGAGTATGCAAAATGCCAGTAGTTCCCAAGATGTAGTCTACTTGTGGTCTGAAAAGCATTGTGGTCTGTGGAACGGTTGCAGATAGATTTTGTTCTCTCACAAAAATTAGATTTTTTTTTTACTGAATGGTGGTCCACGAACAGTTTTTGAGGAACAAAAGTGGTCTGGAGGGGTCCAGAAAGGTTAGCATCCACTGCCATATGCATGACGTATGAGTATCCATACAAATACATTCTGAGTGTGGGGTGGTACATGCCTGCAATGGAGCACTTTTGAGGCATGGTTTGGTGAATTGCATACGGTATTTGTGAAACTCTAAAACCCACTGGGACTGCGAGGAGACCAGCATATGGCAGTATAGCAAGTGGATCCATAAAACAATCTCTCCGGACCTTTGAATGTTTATGGGGTTTCTCCATATATTGCTGTTTCTTCCGAACATGTGAAGCGCTACTTAAAAGGATCGGCTCAAACATCAGTGCAAGAAGACCCTTGTGAAAACCTTAAACAAAGACATTACAAGCTCCAGTCTTACAGTTGTTACAGTTCATAGTTATGTATGTTGAACTTCTTTCACACCCTATTTAGCCAACTGTCGTAATTGGAGGTGCGGGGAAGGACAACAAACTAAACACAAAAACTACTAAATAAATCATTTTCAGTCTAGATTTAAAAGCGCATAGCTCTAGTGGCTTCCGAATATTGGAAAGAAGAGCATTCCAGACGGCCGCAGAAGTGCATCTGAAAGCTCGCGATGCAGTGACCGTCTTTGTTCAATGATTATCCTAAAGCCGCTGCGAGGATGACCGGAGTTCGCTTGATGGTTTATTCTCCTTAACGAGATCGGCAAGGTATTGTGGTTCATTTGTGAAAATCACTGTGTAATGAGTACGACCTTCTGCCAGGTCAGCTCATTCTGACTCCTTGTCCCCAACTAATCTTCACGCACCCTCCCATACCACCCTCCACATGTGTCCGAATCATTCCCTGTGGGTTGATGATTGTTTTAATAAGGGTGAATGCATAGTCGTCCATTTGATATTACCACAATCAAAACAGATGGCTGTTCAACTGGCTGAAGGGGTGCCGTGCTCCAAAGAGGTTTATTAAAGCTGGGGATGAAGGTCACTTTGTTGTGAAGGCCATCATTGTCTTGAAATTACCAGCTGAATGACAATCCCATGATGCTTAGGTGGGGCATTGTATCTTTAATTATTTTGTGTGGTGACAAATGACATCTTACTGTGGTGAAAACACAATAGTTTATACAAATAAAGGCTACATGTGCCCACAGGTTTGTTATGGATCCAATTCATGCCCATTGCCGGCTGGCACACGCACGTGTACACGCTTCAACATCGGTATGAATGTAACAGCGCCTCTTTAACCACGACCCCTCCCGACATTGAAGATGACAGATCTTCAAGGCTGCGAATGTGTTTTGTGTCTGCAAAGACATGCCTGAACGAAGGCCCACTGAGGTCAAGGCGGAACGAAAACTGCTGAGCGGAAACTTTGAGCTGGGGCGCGAATTTCGATGTTTTCACCCGGAGCGGACACAGCCCACGCGGCATGTGGCGACACGTGGAGTTAGTTGAGCTGTCATCAACGTTAACGACAACAACAACAAGGCCGCTGTAGTCGTAACACTTCATATTCGAATAGTGAGCGCATGTGTATACAAACACCTTGCGTTAAACGCACACCCGTGCCATCATGCCTGCCCTTGTCGACTGCCATTGCCACATGACTGCGGAGGATTTTGATGCCGTGAGTGTTGTGTCCCACGCGTCCCTGCCACACACGAGACTTAGCTGCTTGCACAGAGACGCCTAAGGTGCACTGTCGGTTCGTATTCCGGAGCGCATTTTGGAACTGCGCGAGTTTGAATTAATGCTCGGGGATTCGACTCGGGCATCCATCCTAAAGCGGCAGATAAACTGTTGTACGGTAACTACGTGCTTGCAGGAAGTCTTCAGTGCTTTGGAGAGATCGCTGACTTTAATTTAGAGCCATGCTGGAGCCCATGTAGACTCGCAGATGTCTCATTTTCAAGAGCGATCTGGTTAACAAAGGTCTCATCCATAATATAGGTTGTTTTGGTTTAGATAGCGTAAATATATAAATGTGTCGTTAAACCCGCCACCACCCGACAGCCAATTAGTAAGGTTTGTCACGTAAACAGAACGTGCCAATTCGTTACTAGTGCAGCACACTGGTGTGTTGGCAAGCAAACTCAGATTGTAAATGTTGTGGATTTGCTTTCCAACACCACTGTGCTATACTAGTAACAAATTGGGATGTTCTGTTTACGTGACAAACCTTACTAATTGGCTGTATCGGGTGGTGGCGGGTTTAACGACACATTCATATTTACGCGATTTAACCCAAAAATAGCATGGATATTGGTCGCGAAAGCCTCCGTGTTAAAGGTCAAATCGTAATAATAGGGTTTTTCCCCTTTTTTCTGGCAACAAAACTGAAACCTTTTTACAAGGATTCATGTCTGCATTAACAACATTTACCTGCTGTCAAAATGCAAACAAAAAACATACTATGATAATATATACATTGTCCTTGAAACTGATTGGTCCACACCAAGGGACGGCTTTCTTTTGAGCCTCGACCCAATTGGTGCCGCCAAAAGGCGTACAAGGACAATGCATATATTATCACAGTATGTTTTTTGTTTGCATTTTGACTGCAGGTATTGTGGTTAATGCAGACATGAATCCTTGTAAAAAAGGTTTCAGTTTTGTTACCAGAAAAAAGGGGAAAAACCCTATTATTATATTTTGGTACTGGCAAAGGAGGTCTAATGATGTAAAGGTCAAATCGTTAGGCTTGGTCACTGCCATAGAAATGTGCAATTACCACCATTGACTTAGAGCCGCAAACGGAGATGGTCACCGCTCACCGCTCGTTTGAGTAGGATGTTGACACGAGCTGTCTGAAACTGTAACAAATAATTTGGTGATGCCGCTGCTGCGTTGGCGGTGGTGCAAAAACACAACAAAAACCCGACCAAACCTGTCAATAACACTGACCTAAAAAAGGGAGAAATATAATTGGCGAGATTTCGAGCAGTGGCCCTTCATAGCATACAGAGAGGCCAGAGAGATGGAGTGGATCATTCATCTACGCCAATTTTAAAAAAAAACTGCTCATCAGAAAACATTTTAACAATTGAGCTCTCATCAAGCCCCATGGAGTAAAGTGCAGTCTCCAACAGTTATTGCCCACTTCATCACTGCCCTCTCTCTGTACTGTGAAGGACAATTTCCCTGAAACGTCAACAATTATATACGTTTTTTTTTTTCCATTTAAGGCGAAAGTGTTGTTGACGAATGTGTCGAGTTGTTTTCGGAATATTATTGAGGTTACGTTTAATATCTTTACTTATATTCAAAGGATGTACGTATGTTGAACTTCTTTCGCACCGTACGTAACCCAACGTGCTATGATCTGAGTTTTTAACGAATGAAGCGGTCCTGCCAATGTGGGGCTGTCTTTGTTTTGCCACATATTGTGCTCATTTATATGTGGCAGAGCCTATTGTACACACTATGGATCTTAATGGAACACCAAGTTTGTGAATCTTTGACAAACCATAAAGTCAAAACCACTTATCGGTTTGCCATACTACAATATGACCCAGAGTACAATGGGCTCTGCCGCATAAATGTAGTTGTTGCTCTGCATCTACATCAGCCATACGAAGTAGAAGAAGATTAAGTAATAACAGCAACATAATAGTTAATGTACCTTATTTGAAATGGACATAGTTGTAATAGAAATAACACCACTACACATTTAGTATCTTACACACAACACGCACCACGTGGCATGCACACAACACTACACTGAAATTAACACAAAAACATAGAATAAATGTGCCCTGCACAAAACACAAAACCACACCAACATGCACACTACAGTTCCTGCACACAACATAAACACCGTTCATCGCATGGATATTCATGCCAGTATATTGATTAACTGTGATTTACGCAACTAGTGACATGTTCTGCATACTTGCATATTGACATAATACATTGTAATGTATACAATAACCCCCTGGCCCCTTTGCACTTGTAGGTGTACAGTGATGGCATTACCTTAGTCTATTTGAGACCGAAAACAGGAAGACTTATACAACATTCTGGTGTTGCCTAATAATGGTGGTTGTCATCAGCAAACTGGCATACTTAAATTGTAAATGTGGGTTTGCTCTCCAACACAGGTGTGCTGAAGTAACTAATTGGCACGTTTTGTTCACGTGACAAACCTGACACATTGACTCTATTGGGTGGGCGTGGGTTTGCGACACATTTACATTGATGCCATCTAACCCCAATAAACGTGGGTTTGCGACACATTTACATTGATGCCATCTAACCCCAATAAACGTTATTATGAATAATATTGGTCACAAAAGCTTACGTGTTCAACTAAAAGCTGTCCCCAAGATTTGAATACATTATATGCCAACAGCATTTTGCAGCCATAGAGAGGTTTATCGCTTGGTGCAAACTTCTGGTTTCGGGAATATTACGAACACTGATCTGGACGTCACGATCAGTTGTGCATTACGACATTGGCTCTCATGGTACTGACACATGAGTTGCTATGAACCTTGTTATGCAGTATACATTGCACCCGAAAAATACACACTCCTACAATTCACATTATAATTTGTGGTGCGCAGTGGGTCAATCATTGTTCTATGATTCCCGGCAACCTCAGTTCAATTCCTGGCCATGGCTAACATCAGTGGCAAGTGATATCTGAATCAGTCCTGTACAACTTGCACTCACCAGCGTGGTGAATGTAGGGTGAAACAACCCACATTCCTGATATTTTCATGGGGAAGATGTCATCCAGCAGTGAAGTGACAAACGACCGTGATAAATTATTGTTAGTTGTATTATATGATTGAAATCATGCTTATGACACTTGTTATTGGAACCACACAATGATCATTGAGCGTCAAAGTTGCGGAGAACATAACAAAATGAAGACAATAACTCTTTCCTATACAGTACCATTTCCATCTCTCTACACACACAATCCCTTTTGCACGTTCATAACGAATCGACGCAAGATGGTGATGAGGTTTGAATTGCCATAGCCCCCTAAACTTTCTGGTGGCTTACTGGACAGAGCTAAACATTTTCGTTGGGCACCCATCTCTGGGCTGAAATATCATCGTCCGCAGCAGTGTCGCTGCCTACGTGCTGCCCTGCGCGTTGCTTAAGGCGTGAACGCACGCGAGTGCCAATGTCCTTGTAATTAAATGCATCATCATGGCAAAAACTAAATCTATCACCCGTAACCATACACGCAATACCAGACGGGCCGCGGGGAACAGCAGCCACCCAACCACCCCCTCCAACACGAATGCGATGTTTAAACAACAACAACAACAAAGAGATGGCAGCTATCATCAGTGATCTGAAATTATTCGCCACCATCACACAATGTGATTAATTAGGCATCAAGGAGGCGGCGAGGTGGTGGGGAAATGGAAGAGGCAGTCGTGTGTAAGACTCAAGCCACGTGGAATTCCATATGCGTGTCTACGGTTGGCATTCAGATTAGGGTTGTTACAAAACACGTAACGGTCGTGTATACACCCCTAGTGTTGTTGTAATTGTTGGATATATAAAGGCAACGATAATCATGATCACCGTGTTATACTGTATACATTAACCCAACACACAGTTTGACATGTGTCCCAACGTATGTAAACACCGCGCTTGTAGTCAAATTACCTATTTTTAAGTGTGGACACAAAAGTCATTGACATTTGGTTAAATAATCCATTGGCATTCTTGAATATTTTCATTAGTATTTAACACTGCATCCCTGCGAAAACACGTACGTATCACGGTATGTGTAAATCAACTGTTTCAGTCAGCTGCCTTAACATGCACAACAAATACCATGACATTTCCACTCTTGTTTTACCAATGGTTGACCCTGTCTATCTTCCCGGCATTGTTGTGAAAGTGTCTTCTGGATGGGACAGGTTCTGAAACTGTGTGGGAGGCCACAGCTCACGTGGGGTGTGGGGCAAGGAAGGAACTTCACAATTCAATCTAGATCTTAAGTTTTCGTGACTGCAGTGATCCATACTTTGTGGTTCTTTCGGTAAAAAAATAAAATAAAATATTTACATTTATTTTATTTTATACCTACGTGACTTTACCGAAAGAACCAAAAATGAACTTCCCAATTGCCGTTGCCATTCTCCACATTCGGCATTGGTAGCGGTGCTGCCGGCATAGAGGGACATTGATATGCTGCTGCTGCTCGCGAGTTTACCAACGTTGACCGCGGTTTTGGGTTGAGCTTTTTTCGTGAGGCCAAGGGGAACAGACGGTATCTTGCAGTGATCTATGGGATTGACCTTCGTGTCAGACGCAGACGCTGTGTGGCCTGGGTATTGCAGACTTTCTGTTGCAACTGTTGAACTTGCAACAGCTTGACATGGATTAATTCTGTACCGGGCGTTTTTTCTGGTATCTTTCGATTCATCGATTAATATAAAAAGTATTTGCGAATTTTGCATCTGGGCTAAAATAATCCATAATTGAGTCATAGCTTTTATAGATCATGACAATGTATTAAATCGCTGGCAGGATGGGAGTGGATCAACACATGCTGAAGTTTTATTCTAGTGGGATAGATTATTTAATATTCTTGGTTCTTTCGGTAAAGTCACGTAGAAGGGAAACAATTAAATAATAAAAATATAAAACAATAAA